CATTTTTTTTTTTTTTTTTTTACTGTTAAAGAAAATAATGTTTTGGATTGGTGCAGTTTGCTATTAGTGGTAGTAGTAGTACATCATCCTTCTTCCAGTTGTCTTGGAGTTTGGCAGAATGAATCAGCATCCATTGCTCTTGAAAAAAGCAGCTCACACGTATTCAAAAATTTCTCATTTAGAGCTTCACTGAAGAATTACATCTGGTATAATTGCAAATTAATTTTCATTATATTTTCATTAATTTGTTTGTTCTCATTATTGCAAATTAACAAAATTTTAAATATTAATTTTGTACATTTATTTCATAATATTTTATATATAAATTAATCTGACATTTCATTATTGGTGTATGTGTGTGTGTGTGTGTGTATATGTATATACACACACACATAATTATTATTAATCTGCACTAATTAATTGTTTGATTGATTGTTTACCAGTTCAAAAATTATAGAATTGAATCTAATTTAATTATTTATTTATTTATACAGAAATCTGCAATAATTATTTGATTGTGTTGTGTTTTCACAAGATTGTCGGTACAACTATAATATTTTATCCTAAAATGAAAAGCATGTCACATCAACTTTGTCATATTTTTAATAATTTTCATCTAAATAATAATATTATTTTTCTTTAATATTATGAAGCATTAACTAATACATTAGGCAATATGTGCGAGCTTCTCTTTTCCAAACAATGACGATAAATGCTGATTTATTCTGCCAAACTGCAAAATACCGCCCCATCATTTATGTCCGGCATCGGTAGAATCACATTAGCAGTGGTGGATGGCTCTTGTTTGCTGAAAAAACCTTTGGCCCGTCCAGAAGACTAAAGTTATTTATAGCTGACCTGACGAGGAGCTATTTACAGTGTTTATCCAGCGCAAGACGGCTGAAGAATTTAAGTGCTGTCTTTATGAAGTGCAGCACCAGGCCGTCCTGTGACAGGAAGAGCTACCAATCATTCAAGTGTAAACACAGGCCGTAACCCCGCAGTGGGGTCGCGCTCTGTGCCGGGACGTAGACACATCTCCAGGCTGGAAAGAGTAAATACTCCAGGGGTGGTTCTCAGCTTTGCTGACTTTTTCACAAGGTGCAAAAACCAGGTGAGACATGTGGGTCCTCCAGGACGCCTGCTGCTCCGTCTGCATTGGACATTTGGAATGTGTCTTGATGTCCGAAAACTAAAACAGATCCAGTGCTGCTTGAATTGAAGTGATATAGTGTTTATTTAACTGTCTTTGTGGGTATCTCAGAGTGGTTTGCCTCCTCTCTAAAGGATAGGACATTTGTTGTGAATATAGGAAGTTTTTCGGCCCCTGTAGTATGTGGTGTTCCCCAGGGTTCGATTCTGGGACCACTGTTGTTTTCCCTATATATGTTTCCTTTGAGGTTCATCTTTCGGAGGTACAGTATCTTTTACCGCTGTTGCGCTGACGATTTTTAGTTTTATTTTCCAGTGACATTTGGAATGCGGCTGTATGTCCGAAAACTAAAACCGATCCGGGAATGCTCAGACTGAAGTGTTATAATGTTTATTTAAGTGTTTTTTGTAGGTATCTCAGGGTGGTTTGCCTCCTGTCTAAAGGACATGACATTTGCTGTGAATAAAGCAAATTTTCCTCCAAGCTGGCCCCTTTAGTATGTGGTGTTCCCCTATGGTTCGATTCTGGGACCACTGTTGTTTTCCTTTTATATACTTCCTTTAAATTATATCTTTCAGAAGTACAATATCTCTTACTACTGTTACACTGACCATTTTCAATTTTATTTTCCAGTGACATTTGGAATGTGCCTTGATGTCCGAAAACTAAAACAGATCCAGTGCTGCTGGGATTGAAGTGATAGTGTTTATTTTAAGTGTCTTTGTAGGTTTCTCAGAGTGGTTTGCCTCCTATCAAAAGGATAGGACATTTGCTGTGAATATAGAACATTTTTCCTCCATGTCAGCCTCTTTAGTATGTGGTGTTCCCCAGGGGTCTATTCTGGGACCACTGTTGCTTTCCCTATATATGCTTTCTTTGAGTTACATCTTTAGGAAGTACAGTATCTCTTACCACTGTTACGCTGACAATTTTCAGAAAACTAAATCAGATCCAGTGCTCCTAAAATTGAAGCAATATTGTGTTTATTTAAGTGTCTTTGAAGTTTTCTCTGAGCGGTGCTACGAAGCAAGTCGTGCTTTGGACTTGCACAGAAAGACTAAACCTAGAACTAAAATATAAACTGTGCTAAAAGCTTGTTAATGTTAAGACAGACTCCAGGTGACCTTCATGTCTTAGTCCGTTTTCACCCCTCTTCTCCTGCGTCCGCAAGTGTATTTTTTAGTCTAAACCTTATTTCATTGCATATCTTTTCACTGGTTTGAATCGGAGTTGGAAAACCCCTTTTACATCAACAAAAGAAATCAAACTGTGACTTGAAAGTGACCTTGTGTCTGGTTGCAATGTAGTTAAACTATTATTATTAAGTTGGCTTGTGAAAGCCAACTTACTGAAATGCTATATAAACTTATTATTATTATTATTCTTCTGATCTAAATGATCAACTCTATCTCCTCCTAGAGCTTTAACTCTACAGACTCCAAACTCAAGTAACTTGCTAATCATGCTAACGACATGCTATTCACTTGTTAATCATGCTAACAACATGCTAGTCACATGTTAATCATGCTAGCGACATGCGAGTCTCTTGTTAATCATGCTAGCAACATGCTATCTACATCTATCTATCTATCTATCTATCTCTGACAGAATGTATTGCCTTCAAAACTTTAAAACTTCAAGCTTTTAAACCTACTTTAAACTTCAAACTATTTCAGACTGAAAACCATCAAACTTAAAAAATTTTAAACTCCTTAAACTTTTCAAACTTTCTTT